GTGGAGAAAGCATAAATACTATGTAGCCATTAAAAAGAATGACATAACCAGGGGCGCCTGGGTGGCTCAGTCGATTAAGCGTCTGACTCTTGATTTTGGCTCAGGTCATGATCTCACGGTTTGTGAGTTCAAGCCCCACATCGGGGCCTCCGTGGGATTCTCTCTCTCTTTCTCTCTGTTCTTCCCCCACTTGTGCTCTCTCTTTCTCAAAACAAATCAACTTTTAAAAAAAGATAATTATATGCGTTGATATAATATGAGATACATTAACTGAAAGAAGTAAGAAACAGCTGTCACTTGTGCTCACAAAACAGAAAGTATATATGCACAAGTCTGTGTTGACAAATGGGCTGTATCAGCAGAAGGGTCAACACAGGTGTCAGGGCTCTGTCCTGAAGAGTGGGTGGATGACTTACCTTTTATTTACAAGCTAAAACAATCATTTTTATTTGTTTTTATAAATTTTTTTTTCAACGTTTTTTATTTATTTTTGGGACAGAGAGAGACAGAGCATGAACGGGGGAGGGGCAGAGAGAGAGGGAGACACAGAATCGGAAACAGGCTCCAGGCTCCGAGCCATCAGCCCAGAGCCTGACGCGGGGCTCGAACTCACGGACCGCGAGATCGTGACCTGGCTGAAGTCGGACGCTTAACCGACTGCGCCACCCAGGCGCCCCAAAACAATCATTTTTAAAAACTGAAGTTTTTGAGTTTTATAGCATTAGTTTATATCATCTGTTAAAAAAAATTATTACTAAAAACAAATTTAGAGTCTCTAAAGCTTACCTAGAAGAACTTTGGGTACTTCATTTGTTATTTTAGGGAGGTAATGGTTCAATCCACAGCCTTTAAAAAACCAATCCCCTTGCGTTGTTGAGAGGGAAAACTCTTGTATTTGTAAAAGGCTCTGCATTGTTCAAAGCATGTAGTCTCATCTGATCCTTGTAGCCAGGCCTTGCTGTAACCCCAGCACAAGTGAGGACGGGACAGCTCAGAGACCTCAGGAGACATACGGGGCCATGGAGCTGCTAAGCGTTTCTACCAATTCAAACTGGTCCAGGCTCCTAGAACATAGGATTATCAGGATTTCCTAACTTTGGGGTTACAGCTGGTGATTTCACCAATAGATAAAATGGCACCTGTTATATACTGGGAACAAAGGAACTCCAAAAAACCTCAATTAGGTCTGCTTCATCATGTAGGAGAATGAATGACAAGATTCACCTCGGTTATGGGCTGAACTGTGTCCCCTCGAGATTTGTATGTTGAAGTCCTAAGCCTTCAGTGTCTCAGAATGTGATTGTATGTGGAGATAGGGTCAGTTAAGTTAAAATGAGGTCACAGAGGTGGGTCCTAATCTAATCTGACTGGTACCCTTGTATGAGCAGTTTAGCACTCAGGCACACACAGAGGGCAGACCACACTAAGACAAAGAAGATGGTCATCGACAAGCCAAGGAGCGATATTTCAGAGGAAACCAACCCTGTAGATACCTTGATTTCAAAACTCCAGCTTCCAGAACCGTGAGGAACAAATTGCTGTGGTTTTAAGACACCTATTCTGTTTTGATGGGGTAGCCCCTAGAAGACTAACGCACCTCCCCGCTTTATGTACCTAAAAAGTACTTTCTCTACTATTCCACAGATCATCTCTGAGGGTCAACGAGAGTAATTACGCTTGCCTATACCAACATTTGAAGAGAAACAACTATGTGGTCAAGAGAACGTTGACATGGAAGTACCTTTTTCTAGATGTTGCATTTTCTTTTCAAAGAAACGGATTCCAACCTGTCAGGAGCCGAAAGCTTGTTAACTTACACCCATCTTCCTACTGTCATCATTCTCAGTGATGCTTTGATATTTGATGGCTGCACATTTAAAAAGTTGACAATCTGACAGCCTGCTCTAAGATGTCCAAGCATGCGCAGAAGTAATGTCAACTTCTCAACTGGGTTGAGATACTCAACTGGGATACGTATTTCCTTACGTCTTTCCAGAGAGGTGACCTGAGCCTCTGAGATCCCAGAGGGATGTGCTGCCATTATGTAAACCTGGCCCCACGTTGGATTCCACATGAGAAAAGGAGCAGGGTTTTGAAATTGGACATGTGGACCACAGCAACTCTCAGCTTCACCCAGCGATTAGCCCTCTGCTCTCCACTGACCAGCTCTGTGACCTTAGGTGAGTCCTCAATCCAGTCTCCTTGTCCATGAAGTGGGATAAGAAAGAACCACCAGGAGGATTAAGTGAACTCACACATGTGAGAACCACGTAAGATAAATGATACAGAGCTATACGAATGTAGCACCGTTAATATTGTTATGTTAGGTGCAAGATTACAGGACCAGGAATCCCAAGGTTTCTAATTGCAACCTCTGAGCATTTCTGTACGTATGTCACACTTGGTTAAAACATTTCTTAAAAGAGCAGATGTCTAATTCTGTGTCTGCTGCAAATGAGAGCTAACGTAAGTTATCTACATATAGGACCACCTTACTTCTAAGGGGCCTTAGCTTCCTATTTGTAAAAAGAGGGTGTTGAACTATACCATCTTCTATTATCTGGACCCATCTGTGATTTATTTGTCATTACTCAACGCCTTGATGATACACAATGATAACAGATTTTTAAAATGGAGGCTTTGACAAGTAGGTGGGGACACATCTGTTTGATGTGAAATGCCTGAGGTCAGAGAACAAAGGGGTTTGTAAGATTCCTGGCTGTTTTATGAGCAGATTATACAGGGGATCCCCAATGACTGACTGCCTGGGTCTTCCGAGGGAAGAAGCACCGACTGGGAGACATCCAGTTGGTGAAAGTCTCTGCATTTCAGCCCTGAAAGTAGTACACTGGCTTCTCTACATTCATGTACGATGGAAGTACTTACAAAAAGTTCAGAATTCAGATTTCCTCATCCCTGACCCTGGGTGTAAACTCTGATTCTGCCAATTATCCAGCCAGCTGTGTGACTCTGAGCAATTTCCTTCCCCTCTCAAAGTCTCAGCCTTTTTTTTTTTTTTTAATGTTTATTTTTGAGAGACAGACAGTGCAAGTGGGGAGGGGCAGAGAGACAAGGAGACACAGAATCCAAAGCAGACTCCAGGCTGTCAGCACAGAGCCCAATGTGAGGCTCGAACCCACGAACTGTGGGATCATGACCTGAGCTGAAGTCGGATGCTTAACCGACTGAGCCACGCAGGCACCCTTCAGATTCCCAGCCTCTTACACCGGCACCAAGACAAGAGAACCTACATCACACACGGTGCACGATGAGTGTCAGAGCCTCATCCCGCACCTCCAAATTGCTCAGCACATAAACGGAGCATCTCTGCTCTTCTCAGCTCTTGGGTTTATTATACTGGGGATATCTAAGAAATACATCTGACATGTTTGTTAGTCCCCAGCACGATACTGCGGGCACACATACACATTTACTGAATGGTTTTGGAGGATGAAGCAGCATTTTAAGAAATGTTCTACGAACGGTGGCAGTTACAGCTCGTTATTTCTGAGTTGGAGGGATGAGACGAAACAGTGACAGAAGAGAACTTAAGCTGTGTTTTGGATAAATCTCTCACACACAAGGGCTGTTAGATACTGGGACAGATTTTCTCCTGTTGTCTTTAATAGATACTTAAGATATTACACAAGTAATTTTCTCTTGCAGTGGAAATCTGGGAAATGCAGAAAAGGATGAACAGAAAAATGCACCTATGATTATAATGCCCAGGGAGAAACAGTTCTGATGGGGAGCTTCAAGACTACTGATCCCATGCCATCTCAACCACACACCTCAAGGGGCAAGAACACCTGACTTCCCTTTCTTCCTTCCATCAAGCCAACTCCTACCTTGTATCAGAAAGAGTTACAGGTGGCTGCAAGACATTGGCTAAGTCCCTTAAGCCAGGCCGCAGTTTTCACATCACACGTGTAGAATGAGAAAATACATTACTTATTGGAAAGATACCAGATAATCTGAATTTTTTTTAAATTTATTTTCTTAATATATGAAATTTATTGTCAAATTGGTTTCCACACAACACCCAGTGCTCATCCCAAAAGATGCCCTCTTCGATACCCATCACCCACCCTCCCCGCCCTCCCACCCCCGACTCTGAATGTTATTCACTGAACATCAGCACCACGTATAGTGCTTAGTACTTGCACACACATCATCTCTGTGAAAATGCTTTGTACATCTCCAAGCACCACTCAGACTATAGCGTTAAGGTGGCAGAGATTCTTTTTTTTTTTTTTTTTAATTTTAATGTTTATTTATTTTTGGGAGAGCAAGCGAGCAGGAGCCTGGCGCCCCAAGGTAACATAGATTCTTGATCATCCCAATGACCGTTTCATCATCTAGAAGGCAGAGGAAGCACAAGGGGGTAACTAGGCCTTCTTCTAAACCACCACGAATTAGGGAGAAACCTGGGCAAGAAGCGTATCATGTGGTTTTCTTTGCAAATTATAAAACAGAAAAGTAACCTACACATTTCCCTGCTAGATATTTCTAGACCCAATGGACAACATCCCACATTCTTTTTTTCTCAAACTCTCAAAATTTCCTGGATGTGCCTTGACCGTATTTGCAACTCAAATGTGAGCACCGATTAGAATGAAATGTAACGGGCCTGCAAAATGTGGAAGTTCTGTTGCCACATGAGAATCTGAAAGCATGGAGTTCAACATGTGACATCTCTCTAGAATCGGATCTCTCGCTCCTCTTGGGCACAGGTGCTTGTGCCCCGCAGCGCCCCCACGTGCCTGCGCACGCGAGCATGCGCACCAGGGGCACCCCCACTCCCCCACCAATTCTGCCCATTCTCAGCAGACCTGACTTCAACCTGGGACGTGTTGTTAAGACCCAGTCGTGAAGCGTTGTCTCCGAAGGCTTATAATTGAGAAGGGCACAGGGTGCTTGTTAGAGCACCCCTCGTGCCAGATTGCGAGGAGTGAAGGGCTGAGATGAGCTTTAATTACCGCTCCTCACGGCCCGCTTACCTGTTTTGCTGTTTCGATGAGGGCAGCAGCTTCTGCCTGGCCCAGCTGCTGCACCATCTTGTAAAACAGGCTCTCTTCATTCTGCAGCAAAACATACGGTTCATCATATTCTTTCAGTCTTCCTGAATCCAAAACCTGTTAATCAGCAGAAAGAAACCCATTAGCACACAATGTTTTGCAGTAACATATTATAAGCCAGACAATATTTCGGAAAGGGGCCGGAGAAGGAGAATAGAGAGAATCCATTTGGGTGGTAGGCCTGCCTGGTGTTTAAACAGTTTGATTACCCTGTTTTACTAGGCAGACAAAGGCCTAGCCCGACCTTTTATTATTATAATGTTATAGGAAAGGAAGAAAATGAAAGTTTTAGACTATGATTATGGGCACTCAGCAGTCCTGTGGCGTTTTATATTCTGCCAAAGGCTTTTGGGGTTGTTATTAGTGCTTTTAGCTCTCAGACTCTGAGCTTTGAGGGTTATTTATACATACATTCAGAGTTGGGAAATTTCTTGATTTAGGAAAATCAAACTCAACTTATGAAAAAGCAGGGTGATGTCATCCAGGCCAGATGGCAGTGACCTGAGAGCAAATTAGCTGCTAAGCTGGTCTGACAGAATCTGAGCAATATCTGGAAAAGGAGTAAATGCTTCTGGAATTTCTTTAGGGTCCTGGAATATGTCAGCTGGTAAGAGGGGACAAAATACCCGTCAGCGAGATTAAGGTGCATCCTGAAGTTGGCTTTGGTGGGAGCTTATTATTCTGGGAGTGAAAGGCTGGCTAAAAGAGCTGCTCCCTAAGCAGCTTTAGCATAATTGCTCTGCACAGAAGAAATCTCTAGAAATCCAATTTTCTCTCTGGATAAGACTAAAGAAGTAATTAAGAAATTGAGCTCCAAATTCCAGTGATCATGGCCTGCACAGCACACGGGGGCAGCCCAATCTCAATTGTAGAGGATCGGAGTATCTGTTTGCACAAGTATCTTTCCTGCTTCCTTTTCTCTCTTTCTTCGGCTGCCTGTCTTTCAAGCCATTTTATTGCTCATTAATATGTCCGCTAATTGGAAATTGAAAGGGAGAGGAAGGGGCTCTTAACTCTGCATTTCTACTTATTAGTAGCTCTGGTTAATGGTTTGGGAGGGAAGAAAAGAGTCTGAAACCATTGGCCCAGATGATGTACCTAGGAAAACAGTTCTGATGTCAAGTGGTACTTAGTTCTTCATTTAGGCTGTATTTAGAGTAAATTTATCTTAAGGGAATATGCTGAAACTCTTAAGCCGGACACAGGCTGTTTGTCCACATCTAGGTATTGCAGTTAATTCTGTCCCGTGGTATTTAATCGGAAACATTTATTAAGTCTCATAACGGGCATTTTCCTGTTAATCTTTTGTTTACTACTGTGAATCACTGCTAAGGGCAGCTTTCTCAAAAGAGTTCAAGAATAATTGAATCTGTCACATCCACATAATAATTAAAACATCCTATAATTTGGCATCCAATTTAGATGCCCCAAATGTGTAATTTTACTTAAGCATAGCATTACAGAGCATAGCCACTCCTCCTGATGTTGAAGAAGAAGAAAAAAACCAATTTTAAAATACAGGTTTCTCTCATGCTGAAGACTAAGTAAATAAGCGAATCAAATTACTTCATACAATGAAGAACCTGATATTCTGCAAAAGCAACAACTTTTAAAAATCACCAGAGCTGGTGGAAAAGGAGTTCTCCAACTATCAAGACTGTATGTAATTTTTATTTTTATTTTTTTCAATGTTTTTTTTATTTATTTTTGGGACAGAGAGAGACAGAGCATGAACGGGGGAGGGGCAGAGAGAGAGGGAGACACAGAATCGGAAACAGGCTCCAGGCTCCGAGCCATCAGCCCAGAGCCTGACGCGGGGCTCGAACTCACGGACCGCGAGATCGTGACCTGGCTGAAGTCGGACGCTTAACCGACTGCGCCACCCAGGCGCCCCTGTAATTTTTAATGGAATGAAACTATTTACTGATATTTCGTCCCTGTCCAACTTCCTACTTTATTCAAATTTGAATGAACAGCACATTTTTCCATTTTCTCTCCTACCGTCTAAAAACACACAAATGCCACTAGATGAGCAGTTCTCAGAATCGACCAGTGTCTGAAAAGGCAGAGGCAGAAAAAAATTAATGCTCTTAAAAAGCAATAGAGTTAACAATATAAATGACCAAAAGACTTATTTTGGTCACAATACTTTGAGCCTTATGAGTATTAAATATAAATGCAATTTAACAAAGAACGACTACCTTAAGATAATATTTTAGAAAGTCACCTCGTAACTAAAATAGTGGTCTTTTGAATTTGGAAAAGAAGAAAATAGCTGTGGATTGAACACTCAGTGTACTACATGCTTTGTAGACATTGCTGTTAATTCTCAAGGTACACAGGGTACATAATGTCCTTCCTCCCTTCCTTCCTCCCTCCCTCCCTTCCACCCACCACCTATTTATCATTTTTTCCTTCTTAACCTCCATTCTCCCATCCATCCATCCATCCATCCATCCAGGAAATACTGACACCTAGTATCAAAGCACTGTTTTAAGAATAGGAGATTCAAAGATGAGCAAGACACATTCTGTCCAGAAATTCACAACCAGAGATGAAGACTGAGGGTGCAGAAGTGTTAAGTAACTTAGCTGAGGCTACGGAATCAGTAGATGGTGGAAGTGGGATTCAAACACAGGTCCGAACCCCTATTCTTTCCATGTGCGTTCCCAGAGAAAGACATTTAGATTATTTATTATCAGATACGATATAAGGGAGAATTTTAACTTCAATTTTCTTTTTTTCCCCTAATGTTTGAGACAGAGAGCGAGAGAGAGAGAGAGCGCGCACGCACAAATGTGGGAGGGGTGGATAGACAGACACAGAATCTGAAGCAGGCTCCAGGCTCTGAGCTGTCGGCACAGACCCCCAATGTGGGGCTTGAACTCACGAGCTGTGAGATCCTGACCAGAGCTGAAATCGGATGCTTAACCGACTGAGCCACCCAGGCGCCCCTAACTTCAATTTTCTAAGATACCTTTCTATATGTATAATACCTTACATTAACTTTGTATAACTTAAGAAAATATGCCTATAAATGTAAACATTCCCCACTGCATTTTTATTATACTTGGGGCTCACATTATTTACTGTGTGCCTGGTAGACACTCACAGAAAAAGAAAACCAATTTTATTAAACTTTCAGGATTAATAAAGAAGAAGTAATATGTGGCAAAAACACATTTGAGGAAAATAAGTAAACTTTCATTAATTCCTGAATTTGTTCAGCAAACATTTATCGCATACTTAAGTGCATTCGTGTCATCATGACAGATGCTGGGGAAGAGGCACAAGAGAGTTAAGCCACAGCCCCTGACATTCGGGAGCCTGTACTAAGAGAGAGAAGAAAGACTGCAAGTGTCTATACTGCAAAAAGAAAAAAAAAAAGCAATGGCAGAAACAAGAGTGTGGAGCCGCCAGGACTCAGGCCAGGCACTACAGAGCCCCTCGGGGCGCAGACTGAGAAAAGTCCTGGAACAGAACTGTACACATTTTGCCTTTACATTTACTGGTTTGAACAAAGATTCCAGGTCTTTTATGATAACTGCACACAAAGCAACTCCAATTTTTAAAAAATGTTTATTTAGTTTGAGACAGCGAGCAAGCACACACATGCTCACACACAAGCAGGGGAGGGACAGGGAGAGAAGGAGACAGAGAATTCCAAGCTGGCTCCACACTGTCAGCGCAGAGCCCAACACGGGGCTAGACCTCAGGAGATCTTATGAACCTTGAGATCATGACCTGAGCCAAAATCAAGAGTCGGACGCTTAACCGACTGAGCCACACAGGCGCCCCTCCAAATTTTCTTTATGTACAGAAAAACAGGTATAATTTTGAGTTTTTATCTTTAACATCTTCCGTAACTGTAAGAAAAGGCTCCTGTGATCTCCCGCTGCGCCCCCTATAACCCAAGTTAAACTACAAATGAAACCACACATTCAAACTGGTGTGAAAGCAATCCTATGGTGCCAGGATCTCTCCAGGAACGCCAACCTCAAATCACTCGCGCGCTCTCGCTGGTTAAGGAAAAATCCATTATATTGGATGAGTCAGTCAGTTACATAAACTCCATGAAGATGTGCTTATCAGGCCTGTGTATCTGCAGATATGGCAGGGAGCTGTCCTAGATATAAAAATTAAATGGACCCATTGCAAAATAATCTAATCCATTTTAAACACCAGGATGCTGTATCAGTGATGGTGGGGTGGCTGCAGGGAGAGGCGGGTGTGGAGGGGGTGTGCAGGACAGGGTGGAAGAAACCTGACAACAGGAAAGAGATGCCTGGAAGTTTTCGATCGGCAATAAGCAACAGAGGCAGATCCCACTTAACAGCAAGCAGAGTGGGAAGATCTGAGTTTCAGACATCTGCTTTTGGTGGTCTGGAGACAAAGGGGCACAGGGACAGTTCTCCAAGCTTGGGAGTTGGGTTCGGTCCCTCACCGGTAAGGTGGATGGCTGTGAGGTTCTCTGTGATAAGATACGGTGGCAAGTGTTACTCAAAACCCTTTCTTAGGTCTTGAAATGGTCAGTCATTGTGACTTGGGAAAGATGAAGGCCAGGTCACAGCGACTGCCACAGCGGCTGCCCAAATTCCTGCTATTGTATGGAAGCACACACCTCCTTTCCCAAAGTATTTCTTCTTCCGGATTGTGCTTTCAACCTTCATGTTAGTTATTTTTCCCTCTGAAAACATGAGTGGAAATCTCCTGGTGTATTTTTTTTAAGGAGCTTTTCTCTTCTGTGACGTTCTGAGATACAGGCTTATCAAAAGTTCCATGAAGGTGAAAAATTGAATTTAAATAAAACTCCAGGTAGCTCTGAGGTGTGTTTGTGCTCTCCCAGGTGGGTATGGGACAGCAGTGTGTGGGTTTGATTTCTCTGGGGAAAACTCTACTGAAAAGAGGCTTGAGTTTAGGATGAGAGGTAAAGATTAGAAAACTGTAAGGTGGCTCATAAGCAGAGAGGTAGAATCTGGGTTTCTCAGCCCCGGCTTTCCTTCTCCAGATCCCCTAAGTCCTGGGAGTGAAAATGCTGAGCAGAGACACAGTGTTGTTGCACCAGCTGTATGTCTGCCGGTGTTTCCTTTGCTGCTGCTGCCAGGGAGAATCCGGGGTGCAGTGAGGACTGAGGGGACACAGAGACGAGAGAAAAACGCTGTGCCACTGGCTGAAGAGACAGCAGGTCACAAGTAACCAGCTAATCCTAAAACTACAGGGAAGAGCTGTATTTAACGCAGAGACAGTGGTGAGTATTAGGAGAAAGAGGATTTCTAATTTGTCTGTCTTGCTCCACTGTTTTGTGGCAACTGAGCAAATGAGGAAGATTAAATTAGCTGTCATTATGACTACATCATGTTTAATAAAGTTAAAATTGAGAGAACATCTTTGTAAAATAGAATTCTAAGCCTAACACATTAATGGCGCTTAATGAACCAAAACTGGGTAAATCCCTTTGGAGAGCCAACACATAAACAAAGCTATTAATTAGGTCACAGTTGTTTCCCAACAAGCCTTTTGTTTGATTTACTTACAGTAAACAAAACCATATCCATACGTCTTTGTGCAGAAGTATTCACCAGTGCAACAAAATGTAATTATTACACCGTGAGCGCGTGCAATTACACGACTTTACGATGACAAGGCTGTGGTTATGCCCTTCATTAGCATCCGTCACTTCCCCAGCCCCTCCGTGAGCGACCGCCACCCTCTGGAGCAGGAGGCCTTGCTGCTGAGTGACTCGTCTTTATGTCCCTAAAGCTTTCAGAATAACAGAACAGATGATCACTTGCTTTTGGAAAGGAAATGGGTATTTCTAAAGCCAGCAAGAAAAAAAAAAGATTGATCCAAAAATCAAAGGTTCAAGAAGGAACATTATTTATGGTGTTTTGCTAGACTAAAAGCCAACTAGTAATCAGAAGTTCTAGAATAAAACAGAAGGCTTCTCCCTGGAGTGGATGGAACACAGAGGACGATTTCCCGATGATGAACTAGGGAATGAGTGCCACTTGGATCCCCTGAGGTCTCATCCTGCCATTCCCTGTCAAAGGAGTCAGCAAACCAAAACCAGCTCTGACCAAGATGTAAGCAGGTGGCCAAGTTTATCTGCCCGTGATGTCCCTGACGAACTCTCAGCAGGGGTGGGGGGGGGGGTGCTGGACTGAAGGTCCCTCATCACTGGAGCTGGGAGTGGGAGCAGCAGCCCCACAGGAACACACAGAGCCCACCATGGAAAGTAAGGTCCTTCCCAGCAATGGTCACGGACTCTAAAAGGAACCCTGTGCTTCCTGTCTCCAAACTGACTTCTCCCTCAGTCTCCCCAACTCCTCCAAATCTCAGGCCCCTTCCCTCACACCCCAGGCTCCGCCTATCACACCGTCATTTATCTGCCCTTAATCCAACCATCTCACCATTTCCACTGCTGGTGCCTTAGCCTAAGCCACCAACATCCAGTTGAACCAAATGACAACCGACAGTTTTAATAAGCGATTTTAACTCTCTCTTTAAGGAAAGAAAGAGAACACAGCAGGGCCAGGTTCGAAAGGACGGGAGGGGCTGTAAACTGCTTTGCAAAACCACTTTAAGGATCTGGACAAAGACCCCTGGCCCAGAGAGAAAAATCTGAGCTTCTTGAAATTTATCAGGAGATACTCATACGGGAAGCATTAAACACACAGACATACTTTGCTAACGGCAATGAGGCACACTGGTTAAGGGGATACTTAAGCTCACATGTGTGGGTCAAATGCTGATGGGTAATGCAAATGGGTAAGGCTTAGGAATGACCAAAAACAAGATTTAGGAATGACCAGCTGACGAGTCTGTCAAATTCTGTCCTTCTCTGCTGTTTCCCTAAACGATCCCGCATTCCAAGGTGGCAGTACTTCTAAGAATGAGATGATAAAAAGAAACTACTACCACCAAAATGTTGTAATACCAAAACCTCGGAATAAATCTATATGGTACATTTAGGAGCAAAGGTTTGATGTGAAGGTGCTCTTCACTAAGCTGGAGATCAAGCCAGCTTTCTGCCACTGCAACCAAAGCCTGGCAAAGCACTTCAAACACGGAAAATTCTACCATCATTCACTTATTGCGGAAAAAGGAGGCTTCTGGGGACAATCTGTGAAATACAAAGCCGAGAGACAAGAACAAAGTGACAGGTAGCAAGCAGAAATCAAAGGTTATTTTTCCAGTTTCCATTCAAAAGGAAGGAATAAGGATGCTACCAATGCCACACAACGTTTCTGGAATCTAAGAGTCACTGTCCTGCCATCATGGAATGTCACATGGTCACTCACAAAAGTCTGCTGGAGTGGCTTGCTTCCTAGTTCTAGGTGTCCTAGTCCACACCAGCCATGCTGCCTGAAGCCTACAGCATCCCTTTGGTTGGGAACACCCAGCTCCTGACGTCAACCTCGTCAGAGCTCATTCCTGCACATGTCTAGGCCGGGGGAGCGCCAAGGTTGAAGGCACCGCTTCACTGTGGAGAGTCCGGTTATCTTCTCACTGCCCCCACTGATGATCCCGTCTGACAATGCATGTGAAACGGGTGGGAGGCAATATTCCAGAAACTGCCCGAAGAGTCAAAAGGGACAGCTCTGTTTTCACTGGACATAAGGAAGCTTGGATATTACTGCTTATTACTGATTACTAACCTGTTTAGTGCAGATCATCAAAAACTTGGTTAACCCTATCTGTTGCCTCTCACACGCTGTATAGGCCTTCTTTATTTACTTTCTCACCACTAATCAAAGCACCACCGGATACTGTTGTGTCTGTAACAACAGTCAGCATCCATGAGACAGGTGAAAATCAGCCTGTTGCCATGGACTGGGAATTACCCTGAAAATAATACGTGCATTCCTTGGGCTTATTTGTAGCCAAAGGGTTTTCCTTTGAGGCATGGCCTCCTTATCATTTCATAAAACCACATCCTAAGATAACTGAAACTGAGCAAGCAAAAGAGGGAAAAGAGAAGAAAAAATATAGGAGGATAGGGTGAGAGAAAAGGGAGGGAGGAAAAAAGAAAAGGAAGGAAGGACTGAATTACTAAGAAAGAAAAAGCCAATCAAACCTGGCAGATACTGGACAGATTTCCAGAGACCAAAGCTTGAAGCCTGCCTTGTGTGTAGTCCCTGGCTGTGCTGTGTAAGAGACCTGCTGCTTGGTCACCTAAGTCTCAGCCCCAGACCCACCATTTTTCCTACACTCTCAGCTCATTTGCTGTCTGCAAACCACATTCCAGAGAGCTTTGGCCGGCTGGTGCTCTGTTGGGTTCCACCAGCAGGGGGCACTTGGGGAAGGGGGTGTTGAAGGTGAGACACAGAGCAAATGGTCGCCATGGCCTATGTTGCTCCTGCAACATCACCTGGGGCCCGGGACCTGGCACCACCCCCCTTCTTCCATTAGAACACACATTGAGAACTAGTCTCATTGTAGTCCCTCACAAATGTAACCAGCGGCTGGGCAGTGACTCTCCTTGGAGGTCTGAGCATGAGTCTTTAGGGTCTTTCCTCTGAGTTCTCAGGTCTAGAGATCTGTCTTGGGGCTCAGTACCTGCTTCCTAAAATCATTATCCCAGTTTTTCTCTTCCACTTTTCCAGCCTTCCAATTCCTACATTAAATCCTTTCTGTTGAAATACTTTGTGTTTCTGACTACGGCTTCTCCCTTCATAGACTCCCCTTTGTCAGTGCATCTTGTAAACATCCTGACAGACAAGAAATTCTGCAAGTTACCCAATAACATCCTGGCAGCCTAAATGAAACGGTAACTTTTTGATTAAGAGAATCCAAAACACTGAAACAACTGTGACATGGCCAGAAGTACTATTTTACCCCTCTGTAAGAAGAGGCCAGATCTTGAATTTGAAAGATTTTCATGGTTGGCCATCTTAAAGGAAAAGGACAATTCAAATAAACTTTTAATACGCAAATATGAAATCATTAGTTTATTTAATAGCACATTCTGAAGGTATAGTTAAGTACCTGAGTCACTATCAGGAATGAGAGGAAAAATTAACAGAAAATGAACTTATTAGAGGTTTCTATCAGGTTGTATAAGGAAGGTTAAGCTGAAAAACTGAACATAAATGGAAAAAACTGGAAAGTCACAGGTGAGGGTCTTACCATTATCTTGTCGCTGTCAATAATGGTGTTCAACCTGTGTGCAATGGTCAGCACAGTGCACTGGGCAAATTTCTCACGGATTTTTTTTTGTATTAACTCGTCAGTTCTGGAACCAAAAAAGTTGGATTTAGTTCAGTAAAGATAGGAGAAGCAGACTTAAGCCCTAAAACAATCATGACATTTTCATAATGTTTTTAAAAATCAAAAACATGAGATAGTTCTTAAAAAACTGAGTATAAGAAAACCTATTCAGAAGTTTCCTGTTTTGCATATGACGATGTTAAATATGCTTCCCTCCACTTGCTTGAAACTATCAAGAGTAGCACTGAGGAAATCTAGCGGTCTTAGGATGCCTAATAATATCGTTATCACCATATAACTTCTTTTTGGTTTCTTCCTGCTTTCCAAAATTAACATTACCAATGATACCTTTGGGACAAAGAGAGTACCTGGAAACATTTCTCAGCATCATTAAATGTTTCCCATTTGCCACATTTAAAGTTTGGATTCCAAGGTTCATGGGCCCCAGTTCTGTACCTCACATCCACATTTGCCGTTGCTTCATCAATGATCAATATTCGATTTTTCCTGAGGATGGCTCTCGCGAGGCACACCAACTGCCTCTGTCCGACACTGAAGTTCGATCCTGATTCTGCTAATTGGGTGTCCAATTTGCCAGGAAGATCTTCGATGCATTCTTTAAGCTGCACCTGTGGATGCAGAAAGAAGGACTTCTTCCTAAACAAAGTAGTACTGACGTAGACAAGCCCACTAGACACAAGAGCTCTGAAGTTCTAGTTCTTCTTAAACATCTTATATGTCCAGTCACGTGAATGGGAGAGTTACTTCTAATTACTGTCTACTTAAAGATGGTTGTGTCAACTCAGGCCAGAACTATTCTCTGACTTAGGAGCACATGGATTTTTTTATTTCTTTTATTTTTAAAAAAAATTTTTTAATGTTTTTATTTATTTTTGAGACAGAGAGAGACAGAGCATGAGCAGGGGAGGAGCAGAAAGAGAGGGAGACACAGAATCTAAAGCAGGCTCCAGGCTCTGTGCTGTCAGCACAGAGCCCGACACGGGGCTCGAACTCACAGACTGTGAGATCATGACCTGAGCTGAAGTCAGATGCTAACTGTCTGAGCCACCCAGGTGCCCCTGTTTATTTTTAATTATTTTGTTTTATTTAAAAAAAAATTTAGGTTTATTTATTTTGAGAGAGAGAGAGAGAACCCGCAAGCAGGGTAGAGATAGAGAGAGGAGCAGAGACAGAGAGAATCCCAAGCAGGCTTCCTACTGTCAACACAGAGCCCGGAGTGGGGTTCAAACTCACAAACTGTGAGATCATGACCTGTGCTGAAACCAAGATTCAGAAGCCCAACCGACTGAGCCACTCAGGTGCCCCAGGAGCACAAGCTTAATGGGAATCAAGACTCTTCTCTGTTGCCATCAGCAGGCATCATCTGTTCATGCATTGAGAAATATGTACTATGTTAAATAATGCTATTCTCAAAGTAAAATATGGAATAATTAATAATGTTCCTTCATAATTTTTAGATAAAAGGTAACAAAGAATTTACAAAGACAAAAAGCAAAAAACAGTGGTTGCTTGGGGCAGAGAGTTAACTGTAAACAGAGAAGAGGGAATTCTGGGATGGTGACAGAAATGTCCTAACACTGGACTGCTATGATGATTAACTACAAATTTACCAAAATCACTGAATCACACTTATAATGAGGGGATTTTCTGGCATATAAAATTATTTCTCAATAAAGTTCGTGAAAAGAAATCATCTCAGTGTCCCCCATCCCTGCCACATGATGCCCACGAGGAACCTCCCCCTTGGGATTAATTAAGGAAATCGCTCAAAAAATGAAGCCATTTTTCTCAATGTAGTCTAAACATTTAAAAAAGTTAAAAGGGGGCGCCTGGGTGGCTCAGTTGGTTAAGTGGCCGACTTCGGCTCAGGTCATGATCTCACGGTCCGTGAGTTCGAGCCCCGCGTCAGGCTCTGTGCTGACAGCTCAGAGCCTGGAGCCTGTTTCAGATTCTGTGTCTCCCTCTCTCTGACCCTCCCCCGTTCATGCTCTGTCTCTCTCTGTCTCAAAAATAAATAAACGTTAAAAAAAAAATCATTTAAAAAAGTTAAAAGGATTGTTACGGTTGAGTCAAGCTTCCCAAAATACATTTTGTATAGGAGTTAGTACACTAAAGAGAAGAAAAAAATTTTAATTATTGCAAGAAGCAAGGTTCTCTAAAGGTATAATCTTGTCAGCACTTTACCATTTTGGAAGGTTTTAAAGTTAAAAAAAAAATTCAAACAATGGCAAACCACAGCTCATATATTAGCAAATCTGGAACCTATTTGGGGGATGGCTCTTTCCCAAATTTAATCCATTCTGCTAGACCAGTCAAGTTCATTTACTTCAATCTCGTAAATGTTTTGCAGTGAATGAAAACTCATGAAAAATAGGGCACAACATCACATCTTATTTCCCCCAGACTATGAGTTTAGATAGTGCTTATATTAATCTATCTTCATAAAACTGTAAGTTCCAAAAAACAAACTTTTATTTTTAAACACCAAAGATAAACTGAAACCACACAGTGGTAGAGCTCAGCTCAATGAATACTCATTTGGGAAAATTTTAACAAGACCAAACTCAGGCTCCACTAGGGAGTTAAAGAACAGAGAGTAAATACGTTTCAAATTAAGAGACCAACGGATGAAAGGGTGATGGCCAATAAGCAGGGACACAGAACTACAATGTCAAATGACAAAACACAAGGGTGAGTGAGCAGTGTTTTTACAACATCCTAAATGCTGAAAGTACTTCTGTGAATGGGATTATTGTGCTTTTGATCAAAGTCCAATCCCCAGAAATGGGCAATGTGAGTTAGGATTAAATACAGTATTGGTACCCAGCATTATCATGAAAGGTACATAAAATCTAAAGAGGAAGATCTGGGTGGTGGGGGCCAGTCCTTGCACTGAGAATTATGAAGTGGAAGATGTCCCTTTAGTCAACCTCTTCCACTACAAGTAGGAGGGCTCATGGGTGATTCTTTAATGACACCCATTCATCAATCTATAGCCCAGGTGATGGAACTGACCAAGGCTTTTATCAGCTCTGCCTTCTGAGCTGACTTTTGTAATACTTGTATAAGCCTGACTTTGAAGAAAGAACCTCATGCTTGCTCCTGACTCAGATGACAGCTCACCACTAGTCTGGTTTTTGATCCTCCTTTGGGTTGCCCATATCTGCCTGAAGAAGAATAAACAGGTTTCCCAGAAAACAGGCTTTTCTGAGACACACATTTCTTCATTTATGAATCAGGGTTGATTATAAGAATGACACAAACATGAAGGCCCTCTGTAGTGTTTTCACACACTCAAGTTATAATTAAGTACCAGAACCGAGAAAAAGGCGAGAGAGGCAGAACACAGGAAGTGGGAGTTACAACTGGAGAATCCGAAAACCTATCTGATAGAATATTACTGTTCCATTTGAGTGAGATAAGGATTATGTAGGAGGATGTCCTTAATCTTATAAGGTATATATTTATGTATCTAAGGGTGAATTGCAACTTATAATGAAAATTTCTGCAATTTGTTTTCCAGCAGTTGAGCACCACAGAGACTGCAGAAAAGAGGAAGCAAATGTGGCAATATATTAACCAGTGAATCTAGGTGAAGGGTACATGTGTGTTCATGATACTATTACTTCTACTCTCTTGTGATTTAACATTTTTTATTTTATTTTAAAGGTTATTATTGAGAGAGTGTGTGCACACGAGTGGGGAAGTTTGTTTATTTTTGAGAAAGAGAATCTCAAGCAGGCCCTGTGCTGTCAGTGACATGGGGCTCGATCTCATGAACTGTGACATCATGACCTGAGCCAAAATCAAGAGTTGGATGATTAACCGACTGAGCCACCCAGGTGCCCCTGAAATTTTTTAAATAAAAAATTGGGACCTTGAAGCCAGACTGCCTAGGCATGAGTACTGTCAACTGGGCAAGTTCCTGAACTTTCTCTATCTTAACTTCTTGACCTTTAAATAAAACTGTAATAATTCCAAAGGTGTCTACCTTCTAACATTGGGATAGAAAACGAGTCAGTATGTGTAGGGTTTCCAACAGTGTTTGATACAAACTAAGAGATCAATAGGTATCATTTATCCATAATGTGGTCAGTTACCATCCCTTCATGTTCTGCTTTATTTTTCTTCTTCACCTGTATCAGCACAGAAGCTTGATTACATATGCATTGGCTTTATTTTCCATCTTCTCCCTGAGATTTACTCCAAGAGAGTTACTGTCTCTTTTAATGACTGGAGGGGTTCTAGAATCTATAAGGATGCCTCTCTAAAAAGTCTTGAAGAGTACTTGTTGGATGTGTGAAAGAAGCCACAAGTGTATCCCATTTTGTGACATGTGTTCCTATAAAAATTGGAAAATATATCCATATAGATTATCTATACAATACTATTTTCTTACTAAATGTCACTGTAAAAGAAATGTATTCTTTACAACTATGTACCTTCAAGATATCATAATGTTGTACTTTAAAATGTACAAAGCATATGGGGCGCTTGGGTGGCTCAGTTGGTTAAGCATCCAACTTCGGCTCAGGTCATGATCTCACAGTTTTCATGAGTTCAAGCCTTGCGTCAGGCTCTGTTATTGACAACCCAGAGCCTGGAGCCTGCTTCGGATTCTGTGTCTCCCTCTCTCTCTGCCTCTCCTTTACTCATGCTCTGTCTCTCTCTCTCTCTCAAAAATAAATATTAAGAAATATTTTAAAATGTACAAAGCATTTAATTAAAAAAAATTATAGTTTAAGGAAAACAGGTCAAATAATGGTATTCAAAATGACTTAGTATAGAGTACTTCAGATTTTTAAGCTTAGGAAAATAATTAATTACAGCAAAATTGAAAATAATAAACTGAATTTATAAGACACCCATTTCCATCATCATATACTACGTGTACTGAATCCACCAGGTGCCAGCACCCTCACAGGAGGTTAACACAGATGTCCAATGATCTCCACATTCCATGGAACTTTCTGACTTTTCAAAGAAGAAAGGCTGATGTGGGCTAGAAAGAGAAGAGAGACACTGAAATGCAATCAACAGGTGGACAAGGGCTTTTGCTAGAACAAAGCCAAGAGTAAATGAAGTAAAGGGGGAGCCCATTGACCAAAATACATGGCCCAGGGGAAAATGCAAATGCAGCATGTCAGGAAAGCAAGAGCTGAATTACATTTCCCCATGTATACACTGCTGATGCTCAGAGTTCTTGGTCTTGGCTTCCTGTATAATGAGATGTACCTGTATTCTAATAGAGATACCATCAGTGTTGAACGTAACTAGATGGTTTCTCCACAGTTCTGACATGATGTACCATATTCTTAAAAACAAAATTTTTTTAACGTTTGTTCATTTATTTTGAAAGAGGGAGAGAGAGAGAGCGCGCGCGCGCGCATGAGCAGGCGAGGGGCAGAGAGAGAGGGAGACAGAATGCCAAGCAGGCTCCACACCATCAACAAAGAACCTGACGCAGGGCTTGAACCCATGAACTGTGAGATCATGACCCGAGTTGAAATCAAGAGATGGATGCTTAACCAAATGAGCCACCCAGGTGCCCCAATGTACCATATTCTTGGTCACATATCCCAGTATTAAAGCTGTTTTGTTTTTTTTTAAAGAAGTAACATACCGCTGAATTTCTGAGTTTTATCTAGTATGATCTTTTGCCCCTTGACTAATAAACTGCTTCATTTCTAGTCATTACTTATATTTAGGAACTGCTGGTGCTTTGCAAGTGCCCTTACTGCTACTAATTTCTAATGAACTTTCTTTGGTTTATGGCTATTTGTCAATATATGAAAAAAGAGCCTGGATGAGATGGCCAACTGTCTCCCTTCTGAACACCCAACTCATCCAAGAGAGGAGGAGAAAACACAGCTAAGAAGACTTAAAAAAAAAAAAAAAAAAAAAAGCATCTTTTCCTTTTAATTCAAGTTCTTAAAGAAGAGAAAATAGTAGTGCTCTCTTACTGGCTCTCAAGCCGACCCTGTGAACTTGGGTTCCAGTTTCCAGTTTGGCATCACTTGTAGATCAGCTGACCAGGGTGTTCAGTCCACCTTATAGGGAGCTGCCAAAGATACCAGGTCTCCTGCCATCTGTTAAAGAGCAGGACTGGTTATGATGCTCAGGTTCAGATGTAAAGGGACGCAGCAAGCCACGGAGACGATGGGTAGACTGAACAGGATAAATCCAGAAGAATCTGAATGGCACTAGACTTGTATGCTGAATCCTCTGTATGGCGTCTCTCCAGGTAAATGCACATACACTACACCATGGGTACAATTTTTAGGGAAGATTCTTATTCCATAGTGTAAAGGCCTGGAGATTCTAAGGAATCCAGGTGAAGAGTCCCTGACCTACTACAGAATGATCCCAACCTCCCTGAGCAGGCTCATGAAACCTTTACAATGACTGTGAAAAGGTCTATTGCATTTCATCTGCCAGGAGTATGATCCAGATGATAAAAGCAATAAGGTGCATGAGAGAAAATCTGGAGAATTCAGAAAAGTCAAAGAGGAAAAGAAAAAAAAAATCACTTATCATTACTCCCCAAATAAGCAAGGTTTATGTTTTGGTGCCTTCATCAGGTACATGTTCCAGAATCTATATATGCTTGAAACAGCTGGAATCATACTGTAAAATACAATGATATATCCAAGTTTTAAGAAAATCTGCCAAACCTTTCGTTGAAAAACATACACACGTCACGAAGAAACAATTCCTAGAGCAATACAACTCCGGCATGACTTCTCACTCTGAGAGGTAGCGCCGAAGCAATGAGGTCAGCTGCATAAGCAACACACGAAAACCACTCACTTCACTTTGTTAAACCATCATGTTTATTCCTATTTATAGGAAGTTCCAAATGCAGTTGAAAATAAAGGTAAATCTTACCATTACCACTTGCAACACATTACTTTTAGAATTCTAGCAGGCTACTAAATTTTATTTTAATTTTGGCAGAAGAAAGAAGATGAAATACAAGTGATGATCAAAGTTCTAAGATTTTATATGGTTTGTCACCTAATTAACATTTCTTCATGGTCCTGGGACAATGTGTTTCTAGAGTAAATTTACTATCTGGGAATCTATGAGGAGGGATCTCAAGCTCTGAAACAAAGAGAAAAATGATTTGCCAGTAATTCCTGTTTTATTGAGGTGTGCCACAATTACACCATTAAGTTTATCACAGGAGTTCAAGAGCAGTGGATCGTCCTATTTTTCCCTAGGTTTGATGGCTAACTGTTGTTCTACACACCTCCTCTTCTAGAATTTCACTGGAGAAAGACTCACAAACTTAACTGAAATCAGAGATCAAGTGCTTTCAAGTAGGAAGGACAAGGTGAAGTATTCGGCCCAATTTAGGCAAATAAAATCCCTTCAGTTACTGGAAAGCAGGGTGGGTGTGTAAAGACTCAGCACTGACATGCCTTCAGAAACCAGAATTACTGGCAGGAAACCGTCAAGCTTCCAACTCTCCCCGCTCACAGTCACAGCTCACCTATAAACTGAAAGATTTCAGAGTGTTCCCTGGAAGGGTGACACTAAATGACAAACACACTGAGGCAAAACAACCACAATGTGAGTGATCAGTCACTGGGATCTGTGAGATTTTTTTCAAAAAGAAATAAGCCACACGTTCCCAAAAAGAAAAGATCAAATATTTAGTACCTATTTATTAGGTACTTTTTAAATGTTTATTTATTTATTTTTGAGAGAGAGGGACAGAACAGGAAAGGAGCAGAGTGAAAGGGAGAGAGAATCTCAAGCAGGCTCCACGGTGTCGGCACACAGTTGTGAGATCGTGACCTGAGCCAAAATCAAGAGTTGGACGCTGAACTGACGGAACCACCCAGGTGCCCCTTAAGGGCTGACTTTTTAAAAGCAAAAGACTGAGCTAGGTCCCATGAGGGATTAGAAGTCCAAGATTTGGAAGTATGATGTGGTTTCTGACTTCCAGGAGCTTGGAATCAATTGCAGAATGAGGGCAAATACACAGAACGATTAGTGTTAAAATATACAAACCAACAGCATCTTAACAGCCGATATCCTTCCATGCCCTTCCATGCAAGGGCAGGGAATTTCAAAGAGATGGTCCAAATGGAAACACTGCACAAATAATAGAAAATCCTCTAGAGATGAATATATCGGTATAAAAACTTAGCAAAAGTTCCGGGGTCCTGTTACCTACATTTACTCAGTAGCATTAAAATGACACATTTGTCAAAAATAATTATTACACATTCTAGCTGTATTATTTACCTTTACAAACACTTTCTTATAAAACTTCAAAGCATTTCATTAGGAGGAGCTCATTTATCTTTCAGTTAATAATGAAAAACTATGATTGTCTCTATTTAGTGGGTGCCACCTAAGAACAGAGAAGTGAAATATACGTTGCAGGCTAACTGGCCACCAAAACTTGAATCCATAAATATAACCTCAAGCTTTGCTGAAGACAAGTAAGATACGTATCTAGTTGCTTTGCATTCTAGGAAGAAAGTTAACCGTGAAAACATGAGACACTTCATTTTTGGTTCGCATCATCACCAATACATACATTTTAAGTATATCCACGTCATCAATGTTCTCCTAGGTGGTCAACAGTCAGTTAAACCAGTTAAGTTCCCAGTAACTACCTGCAATGTTCCAGAAGTACGTACATATATACTGATGGTAACGAGTTTACAATAATTGCATTTTATAAGTTACCTCTGTTAAGGCACTCCACAGTTCCTCGTCCGTATGTTCATTAAAGGGATCCAGATTTTTCCTCATTGTTCCAGTGAATAAAACAGGTTCCTAAATATTCCAGAATAGTGAATGTTATTACTGTAGCCTCTTTTCATTTTATTTCGATGCTAAATTCCAAAACAGAATTAAAATATAAAAACCAGAATTCACTATAATCGTTAACACGAAGGTTGCAGATGCCTGTTTACACAATAGTATATCTATTAATTTTCCATCCTACAAAGTTTGACCCCCAGTGTCTTCCGGACCACTGAACACTAACAGAAGAAACTGCTGAAGTGTGTCGTCTTAAGAAGAAACTGAAGAAGAGAAATGAAGGTTTGGTTTTTGAAAATGCTCTCCTAGTAATATCTGCTTAAACAGGAAAAACAAGGATATAATTATTTGAGGGGCTTTACATCAAGAGATGTGAGTTTATTATCAATCCTGGTGTGACACTGGAAAACACCAACAGAACGATTAGTTGACATTTGTGACTCAAAGCAAACTCTCAAGTATGTTCCCATTTGCACTGATGAAGAAGCCAGGATATTTCCTCCTTCGGTAGAAGAGTTTTCTTGGATTGGGAATCTGTCCCCATGTGCAAAGGGGACATCCAGTTTTTTGTCCAAAGAGAATGTGAACTAATGGGCCCAGTGGCGCCTTTATTCTCGAGGAGATGCCTATGGTTTTGCATCAGCTAATCCCCACATTATCTTGTCTGTGCATCAGGATTACATGCCTCACAGAACCTCGTTATTAACTGCAAGGGGAGGATAACCTGAAACCCATTGTGACGTGCATCATAATAAAATGATTTTAATTTAAATAGCTCTTCCTATTCATGTGCTTCAGGAGGAGCCACAATTAAATTACTCTTGCAATATATGCCTCCTTCTGGGTTTCAGGAGAGAATCTGGTGCATAACCTTAGGTAGGCCATTAACGTCTTCTTCTGGAAGGCTCTGATAACCCAGGCCGTAAGAACACGGACAGCAGACACTAGAGGTGGTACAGCACCGAGATGCACACAGATGGGGGAATCAGAGAAGACTGGACTCTTCCACAGGCATCCAAGCACGGCTCGAGGGAATCGCCAGCCTCAAATCTTGCCTGACCTTGGGGCTGGACTATTCCTCCTCTCTTCTCAAAAGCCTGAGAGGACTAAGAAGGTAAACTTTTCTCAAGCCGCGAAGAAGAATGACACTCAGAGAGCCTCCTGGACCATCTTTTCCTATGGTCTCAATTTTAAGACTGAGGAGGGACAAATGGATGCAGAAGACAGAGACGTGTGCCACCAAAAAATGTGCATGCCTGAAGGCAAATTCCAAATATTGAAAGACATTTAAAAAGGACACATCATTTTTATAAAGTAAGTGGCCAATATGCCCCAAAAGCACTGAAAAATCACTGGTCATTCAATGTTTCAAAAATAAATTACTGAACTGCACGATCCCAAGACCCCAGTTAAAAGTCACCCTTAACTTTCTCATAAGCCTTCTCCCTGCTGCATCTGTGCTTTTCTCCTCTTCTTATAAAGACACTTATCATGGGATATACGCATCACCCAGTCAATCTTGAGATCCTTCACTTAATTACACCTCCAAAGACCACGGTACCAGGGGTTAGGACTTGGACATATCTTTGGAGGAACCACAATTCAACCCGATACAGCACCCTTTTTCCTATTATCTACTGCAATACTTATTTTATCTTTCTACTATTTTAATTTTGGGGCACGCTTTTAGATGCAAAGCTTCATAAAAGAAAATTTTCACTGTCATAAATAAATAGTCTACCCTAAAACTACTGAACTTAGGACCAAAGACTGAACAACAATTTAAGCAACAGTAAGAGTTCCTTGTCAGGGGAATAATCATCATTCTATTTGGGATTTTAAATTCTTCATTCATCCTACTTCAGAAATTCTTCAGATTCTACTTGATCTTACTTTGTAATTATCAACTCAAAGAGTCCATCAAGGCCAATGCGTCTCCTCCTCCAGCTGATTCTCTGAGGTTTATAAAAACGACAGGGCCAGGGGCGCCTGGGTGGCGCAGTCGGTTAAGCGTCCGACTTCAGCCAGGTCACGATCTCGCGGTCCGTGAGTTCGAGCCCAGCGTCGGGCTCTGGGCTGATGGCTCAGAGCCTGGAGCCTGTTTCCGATTCTGTGTCTCCCTCTCTCTCTGCCCCTCCCCCGTTCATGCTCTGTCTCTCTCTGTCCGAAAAATAAATAAAAAACGTTGAAAAAAAAAATTAAAAAAAAAAAACAAAAAACGACAGGGCCAGATGGGGGAGGGCTGCTACCCAACCTTCCTCACTTCCTGATGCTCTGCCCCGTCCCGCCAAGGCTCTGAACCATGGGCAGTATCCACTCTGGGGCCCAAGCTGAGAGACTCTGAGGACTGGTGGTTAAGGAGATGAAGGGGCTGAAAGAGAACAGGCTAAGGGATGGGCTTCAAGCCAGTGAAAGAAGTGGGAGGTGGTCTCTGCTCATAGCAACCACGAGCCTATCCAGGTTTACATGACCTGTTGGCCTTCATGTGCCTGTCACAGCACAAATGCACATCCGGTAAGAAGTCTAGGAAAAAGTGTCCACCAGGCTTCCAAAGTACACTCTATGGAAGTGTTACCTAAGCTCACCTACCAAAAAACTGCCTTGTTGTTAAAAGACAGACCTTTCTTCCTTTGTGAAACGATGAAAAGGCCCTGTATCTGCCCATTTGGGAGCCACGGTTTGGATGGTTCAACAGGACAGGCACAGGAGCACACGTTTAAAGTTCGATCGCCTACTTCATTAACAGGAAGGGTCCCTCTCGTCACCCCCTTCACCTTTTTCTCTTTGGGAAAGTTCCTGAAATTGATCCATCTCTCCAAAGACTGGGGCACTAATGTGGGATTTGTTGCCGAGATCGAAGTTGCTCACTCTGATGCTGAGCCTGCAGCAGCTTTATGATGAGTTTTAAACAGAGACCTCAGCTATCTGTAGGCCTTAAGGAGGCCCTGCTAATTATCAGCAAGTCACTGCTATCATAAATAGAAAAAGTTACATTTTCAGCATTTCCCAATGCAAGAAGGGTCCCCACTTAAATCCATACAGTAACCTAAAGGGATACAGTAGGCGACTGCTCATGTTTAGTTAGCAGCTATTAGAACAAAGTAGTTCAGTAAACTAGAATATTTTTTTCTGTTATGACATGCCAAAGATGTATTTCAAAATGAGCACAATTTCAATCAAAACTTGAATGAAGAGAATGATTTATTAAAAGATGAGCTGAATGAAGCTGCCTTTTTCTTTAAAAGCAGCAGGCAATTTGTTAACAGTGTCTGTTTTACCATGCCCGTGTGCTTTATGCATGGTGCTCGTTTTGGTTTCTATCTATTCCGCTTTTATCCACTTGCCAAGTAAGAAACCACTATATTATCTTCAAAAGGTGATAAAAGTATTCACAGGAGACACACACTGCAAGAGCAGATAAGGGTCAAATTAATTATCATTTCTGATAGATACTATTATTTAAAGTACCCACCTCCAAGCAATTGAAGTTAATAAACTAATCTTACAATGAATAAGTGTTGTAAAAAATGTTTGCAGGCAGAACATTTCAGTGCAGAGATTTATGGTAGGACATACAACCTTCATGTAAACATATACACTAAATATATTAGCCTAAGTATATATTTTTCTGAAGGTACACAATTAAACCTCATTTAATAAGAGTTAGCTGGCATGCTATGGTTAGGTAAACCAATGTTTTTGTTTGGGGTAATATTTTAACTGAAACATTAGTATCAAACCTGGTTGTTGTTTTTTTTTTTTATCAGTTTCAAGTTGACTTTTTTTTTTCTTTTTATCTTTTGTGCCATGTTCAGCAATTTTTTCCTTTGTTACAAACATACCACAAGTTCGTATCAGCCATGTGACCCAAAATGGCCACCTCTGAATCAAAGCATTTGGCGTAGTAAATTGATAATCCCTCAACACAACGGGGAGACTGAGAACCATGGTCTTGTTAGCCCTTTTGTGTATGCTACTGGAAGACAAACCTCTCATTATCCCAAAAAGAAACCCTACCCACTAACCTTCAGAAGCTTAAAACGACCCTGGTCCAAGACAAAAACCATACAAGTGGTTACAAACCAGGCAGAGAAAGCACAACACTTTACTGTACCCTAATCACTCCAGCCCCCAACCAGGAAACCGCCCTCTACTAAAATATATCCTCCAGAGCGGCTGCTGGTTCCATGCGTCCTGACAGCTACGTTTTCATTTCTGAGCCGAGGACCTTTATTAAGGGCAGCTCGTCTCCCAGTTGCAAGAATGAGACAATCACCTGAAGTAGCTTTAAATCTTGATTTCTTTTTTTTCTTTTTTTTAAATCCTGTAGCCCCTGAATGAACCGATCATCATCCATATTCAGAAGAAAAGAACATTGTTTGCCGACAAAGGAAAAAGAATTTAAGTCGTGTAAAGTCCTCTTTCGATACAGAAAGGTCAGGAGCTCTGGGGAGCAGTTCCAAGGGCTTTAATGAAGACTTCAGTGTCAGAAACAAAAGGCCGACTCCATTAGGCTAGAATCCAGTTGTATTTCTTTACTAGTAACAGCATACTCACCTCTTCTCTCTCTCTGAGTTTTGTTCTCAACAAGGGAAGAAAAAAAAAAGGAGAGAAAAGAAAACCAGGTAATAACGAAGAAGTCTTAAAGAGACAGCTTCGCTTAGCCTTTTCCAACCCACTGAGGATAACCCAGGGAATAGAAATACCAAAGGAGCACAGTGGACTGCTTAAAAAATATCTAGGTTTTGCTTTGATTTTAAAAAGTCTATTAAATATAAAAAGCAAATCTGTTTAATCACGATGAAGATGATAGCTGTTGATCTGTGCCAACCCTTGGGGTGCAATCGTAAATAATGAATTTGCATGGAATCACTTTTCAACTGAAAACATTTTCTTGGTGCCAAAAGGAAAGGGGCCTTAGATGTAGAGAATCCATCCAAAAAAGTTTTGAAATCCGTTTTTCCAGATCCTTTCAGATAAGTAAGTTATTCCCTAAATATAATCTCATCTTGCTATTCTCTTTGGGGAATGCGTTTAACTATTTAAAGACACAAAGAAGGCACAAAGGAGCGCAAAGGAAGTGTCCATTTTGGCTACCCATTCTGTTTGTAAAATTATTTAGAAAGCACTTTCATGTTTTACTTCCTCCATAAATTGTACAAATCAAGGAGTACATTCAAAGAATACAGTGTTTTCCCAAGTTCCCTGCGGGACTGGCCCCCAACTATCCCCACCGCTCCCTTGCCTCCTGTTCCCACGACGGCCCTGGCTGCTATCACACCTCTCCCAGGTCTGATCTCTGATGGCGTGGTCAGCAGTGACTGAGACGAGCCTGGCAGCACGGGGCCGCCACGGAAGCTCACCGCTGCAGCCAGGATCACAGCGAGACAGAGCCAGGGAACAGGGCGCCGACCTGGCTCACCTAAACCGGGAACTCCAAGCAACATGCCTTCGTTCTGCTCTGCAGAGACAGCTCCAAACTCCCTAGTTCCCCAAATCAGGGTGTTGAGACACAAGGAAACGGTTTCCTATTCATTTTGGTGGAAAGAGTGGTGGAAGTCGTCCTTTAAGGGACCAGGCGGGACCAGGCCAACAGCTGTTCCCACCTCTGCAGCCAGTCACACTGTCAAGAGAGAGGGCTCTCAGCTCTAGCAAGGTAAGATTTCGAGTATCTTCTGACGCTAGCCCATGACACGTAAGGGAATTAACCCCTTTTCCTGAATTGATTTTCTTTTAGTGCTGAGTGTGCCTTGAGTTAACTGTATCCAGCAGCCTTTGTTTCCTTACTGGAAAACAGGGCTAACCCTGTAGGGCTGCTGTGAGAATCAGGACCACCACCAGGGCTCGAGGTATGGGGCTAACATGTATCAGGAACCCAGCCAAGCAGGGAACAGTGAGGGAACGTGGTTTTCAAACTGCAGGTGCAGCCAATGGATCATGAAATCAATTCTGTGCCTCATGACCATTTTGTCTTTTCTATGAACTAGAACAGAATGGATATAATAGCAAGTAGAGTACAGAGCACTAAGAGTAATCGTGTTTTGTGGAATATTTGTGTCTGCATGGGTGTGCCCGCGGAATTGTGCTACACAGCAGTTGTAGGGGGGACTGCAGTCACCAATGTGCTCTGGTCCCTGGAGGAGCGGTTACCTGCCCGAGAACATCCTTGACATAAACAGGAACCCTGGCTCTGCCACATGCTCGTAAAGTGGGTTAAACTCATTGTGCCTCAATTTTTAAATGGGTCAGATGAAGATAACCATATAATTGTGAGGATGAAGGCGGAGACAGTAGGGAAAGAGGCTCAAATATGTGAAGGATTCCACAAATATTAGGAGTTATTCACACTTGTGTAATTCATCTGGGATTAAAACAAGCACAGGAGCAACAGAAATTGGAGACACAGCCTCCGGAAGAGCTAGAAAAAAGCGAGCATGTGGGGGGAGTGCAGAAAGGATGCCAGGGTCTTCAGGGGGCACTGCAGCGTATCAGTGGGGTACAGAGAGGTGGTCGGGAAAGAGCAGGTGGGAGGGAGGCCAGAAAACAAAGTGATGTTCTCTCTTGCTCCTAGCGAGAAGAACGCTGATAGGTTTCTGTTACACTTTACCCTCGAATTCTTATTGTGCACACTTTTGTTTCACTCTTTTAAGTTCATAGAAATAATCTGGTTTGTGTGATAAGCAACAGATGTAAAGGAAATCACCAAGGATCACAAAAACATAAATAGAAATTAAAGAGCAAAGTCCTTCCAGAACCTGTTACTTACTTTTACGTAAGTAACCAGAACACCCAAAAGGCTAGTGCCCTGATCCTTAGTAAAAATACTTACTATTTCCTAAGCATTTCTAAGAGCATGGCATTGGGCCACAGACGTTTTCTCATCCGGTTAAATCTTCATGACAAATCTGTGAGGCATCAATTACTAGATCTGGCTTAAGGACGAGGACACTGGAGCTTGGAGGCCAAGTGATGTCATCAGGGTCACTCACACAGTCCTGAGACTGGGCCGGAATAAAAATGTGGGTCATGTGATCTTAAAGATTGTACCCTGGCTGCCTCCTAGAAGATACCCTGGGACCCTTTACACGTTACACGGTCTCTCTAGACTCTCTTTAATCAACAAACATTGCCCCTTAGAGACAAAGGCACACAAAGTGAAAAATGAAAGGTTGTGTGTTTACAATGGTTGGTGATCATTATCTCCATGGGTACAAAGCTTAGTACTGTTTTGTAAGCATGCTCTCCGGAGTATGCACCTACAGCATGCTCCAAAGTAGGGTGGGAAGTTATGGAAGAGGACCAAAACCTGTGGTGATGTCAAGGTGTATTTAGTCTTTGCTCAGATGTGCTTCCAAAACATTACTGGCAGAGCCAAGAAACATCCAACGTTATTTCTTTATTTATACAGTTCTTTTATGTACACAAGCATACAACCATTTCTTATTAAGAAGCATTAAAAATAACACGGGACGTGTTCCTAGGTCCTTTCATCCAAGGACATGAAAGTACTTCACAGGCACGCCCATTGTTTCTGCTCACTAATCTCGTTTGGCCCATTTCAGAGATAGGTACAACCGAAATACAAAACTTGGGAATTTCAACTCATTTACTTTCTACTGTAGTCACGAAGTCATTAATCTAACAGCCAGAGGAAATCTTTAAACATAGGGGTTGAAAGTGCTGCAAATTTCTTTCCATTTTTCCTGAAAGGGATATTTTAAAAAACAAATTTCTTTTTTCCGAATGGATAAAATAGATGAAGATGATGACAAGGTGACAGGTGGAAAAAAGGTCACCAGATGTACCGTGAGGACCATTTCATAATGTATGTAAGTACCGAGTCACAGTGTTATACACCTGAATCTAATACTGTATGTCAATTATTCTTCAATTAAAAAAAAAGAAAAAGCATAGAAGCATCAGGGATAGGAGAGTTATTAAATATTTTTTAATTGTGCTAAAGTACACATAACACAAAATTTACCACTTTAATCATTTTTAAGTGACCAATTCGGTGGTATTAAAATGCATTCACATCACTGTGTAGCCATCACCACCGTCTAGGTCCACAATTCTTCTTTATAATTACAAACTCTGTACCCATTAAACACTAACTCTCCATCCCTCCCTCTAGCCCCTGGCGACCACCATTCTACTTCCTGTCTCCAGGAAACTGACTGCTTAAGTACTTCATAGGAGTGGAATCCTAGGGTATTTGTCCTTTTGTGACTGGTTTCTTTCACTTGGCACAACGTCAAAGTTCATCTATGCCTTAGCTCATGTCAGAATTTCCTTCCTTTTGCAGGCCGGATAATAGTCCACTGTGTGAACACACCACACTTTCTCCACTCACCTACCTAAGGACATCTGGACCACTTACACATTTTCGCTCTTGTGAATACCACTACTATGAATATGGGTGTACAAGTACCTCTTAGAATTTGTTTTCGATGATTTTGGCTACAAAACCAGAGGTGGAGTTGGTAATAGGATGAGATCATTCTATAAGATCATTCCTATGTGATCCTATTTTTGTATTTTTAAGGAAACTCTGTTGTTTCCCACAGTGGCCTCATTTTATACCCACACAAGCAATGAACAAGGGTTCAAACTCTCCCACTAACTTCCAAGCACTTGGTGTTTTCTTTCCCTTCCCTCCCTCCCTTTCTTTCTTTTTTTTTAAGTAATCTCTATACCCAAGGTGGAGCTTGAACATATGACCCCAAGATTAAGAGTCACATGCTCTACTGAGCCAGCCAGGTGCCCCAGTGTTTTCCGTTTTACTGATAGTAGTGACTATTGGGGATGAGATGGCATCTCATTGTGGTTCTGAAAGGAGTATCCTGATTTAAAAAAAAATTTTTTTTTTAATGTTTGAGAGAAAGAGAGTGTGCGTGCACATGCATGAGTAGGGGAGGGGCAGAGAGAGACAGAGAGAGGGAGACACAGAATCTGAAGCAGGCTCCAAGCTGTCAGCACAGAGCCTGATGCAGGGCTCAAACACGCTGATGGCAAGATAGTGACCTGAGCCAAAGTCAGATGCTCAACTGACTGAGCCACCCAGGCTCCCAATACCTTCTGAATTTTTACTGAAACTGAAATGATGGACCACAAGGAATGAAAGGTGCTTCTACTGTGCATTATCCAATCACTAAAACATTTCCTGAAAGTCATACTTCTATTAAGAAGCAGAATAAGGGAACAGAATCAAAGCCCAGAAAGAGATGGCCAACTGCACCCTCCATCATCACAGCAGCCAGGTCCTGGGTCTGCGAGCAGCACTCCACAGCCGCTGACCCAGTCCTCACAACGGCTCCAGGAGATGCCTTTTGTGGGAGAGAAACCTGAGGTCCAGAGACATGGGATTCCTTGTCCTGTATTTTTCTCACTATTCTCTACTGCTTCCTGGTTACAATCATTTACTAATGGCTAGATTCTAAGTCTCCCCAAAGCATCCACATACACAGTAATTCTCAAAGCCCACCAGTTTCACAGAAAGCCCTCCATGGAGAGAATTACCTTTGAGAAGTTACATCTCCTACAGCAAAAGTCTACCACTAAAACATTTAAAATCCACATTTCCCTACAGAAGCCTCTCAGGAGCTAAACCTATCATTCATCATTTTCTTTTCAGAATCATGTGGTTATCAGTGGATAACTCTGGGGTACTTGGGGAAGTTAGAGTCCAGACATTTCACCGGGTAAGTTATTAAATCACACACACATGCACGTGCACGCGCCCAAAAACAAAACCTGGTATCCGATGAAAATACTTGCTGTTAAAAATATGTTCTACTGGGGCAAAAGGATCAATCCTTCAACTTAAAAAAAAAAAAAAAAAAAAAAAAAAAAAAAAGGAATAAAAGTAAAAGCAATTAAACTTAGGTTCTCTTATAAAAAGGACATGTGAGGATGCTCTGACTTGTATACCTGAGGTATGATGGACATTTTCTTCCTTAAGTCGTGGAGCCCAATTTCAGTTGTCAAGATCTTATCAATCCAAATTTTACCTTCTGGTTCTGACAATCTAAAAAGGGCCGAGATGAGGGAACTTTTTCCAGCTCCTGTTCTTCCCACAATGCCAACCTGTAAAGAGATCCGGGAGGGATTAAGAAGTCACAAAACACAATGTATCAGGAGAAACTCTGGTTGTTGAAGACAGATTAAGGAAGTTCTATACTGAATGTAGTCCAAGAGTTTCTCAACTTTGGCACTGTTGACATTTTGGGCTGGATTATTCTTTGTCGTAGAGAGCTGTCCTGTACATTGTAAAATGTTTGTCGCTATCCCTGCGCTCTACCTACTAGATACCAAAAGCACCTCCCGATTGTGGCAACTGAAAATGTCAGACATTAACAAGTGTCCCTTGTGTCCCTTCGGTGGGTGGGGGAACTGCCCCTGGTTGAGATCCATTGGTCTAAAGAAAAGTTAAAAATAGCACAATCAGCCTGCCAGCAGTGAAAACCCAGCAATCTACTAAGTGGTCGATAAGTAAGTTTCAAAATTAGCTTTATTCCTAGTGTCTGGTTATTTTGAACCTTGAGAATTTCTTGGATAATTTTAGCTTGTCAACAAGTCAGAAGCAATACATAAACAGGTAATCATTTTCCCAGAATTCTATTACATAAGAGGTGATATAATTATTCTTTGGTAGAACAACCAAATCATTTCTGGCTATTAAACACCTGATTACATTCTGTCTAAAAAGGAAACATCTTAACGTTTTAAAATGCAAGTCTCAGTGTCTTAAAAAACAGTAGCCAGTAGCTGAAATACCCATAATGAGATCATCACCGACAACAACAACACAAATAACATTTGCTATTTATATGGGGCCTTTCATCTGAGCAGTTCAAAAGGCATTTTACAAAGTAATTAATACTCACAATTACCCCCTTGGGAAAAATATGTGTCCAGTATCAGTCTGGTTATTAGAACCAAAGCACAAGGAAATTAAACACACTGACAATAAGATCAAAGAATCAATATAAAGCAGGTAAAATGCCAGTCAGGAACGAAACTGTATTGCACAAAATTGGTTTTCAGCTGTGTACATTTAAACCTATATGCAGAAACTGTTGTGGTTTTTTTTTTTTTTTTTTTTTTTTTTTTTTTTTTTTTTTTTTTTTTTTTTTTTTTTTTTTTTTTGCTTCTTCTTTTTTTTTTAAACCAAAGAGCTTGCCCAACTACAAATTCCCTGGTGGGAGCTTCCCAAGAGATGATATCATCTCATCTAGGTATCTGGAATCAATGAAGGGCACAGGACAGGCTTTCAAACATTTGTAAATTTTTAAAACTCACAACTTTCAACAGAGAATAACTTTCTGAGCACTGATTCTATGCTGGGAACTTTACATATTATCTCATTTGAGTACTTCCCAAGTTTTAAAGCTTAACTTACACAACGATCATTGATGGCATTTCAAGAGAGAGTCTACTTTTTTTTTTTTTTTCAACGTTTATTTATTTTTGGGACAGAGAGAGACAGAGCATGAACGGGGGAGGGGCAGAGAGAGAGGGAGACAGAATATGAAACAGGCTCCAGGCTCTGAGCCATCAGCCCAGAGCCTGATGCGGGGCTCGAACTCACGGACCGCGAGATCGTGACCTGGCTGAAGTCGGACGCTTAACCGACTGCGCCACCCAGGCGCCCCACGAGTCTACTTTTATAGAGATAAACGTTAGGAAAAGTGGCTTCACCAAATTTTATAATCTTCAAAGCCACTTTATACCTTACAGTAGGTCCTAGTTTATATTTCACAGATGGGTCATTTTCTGAACATGGGTAGGTCCTAGTATACTAGTCTAGACATACATGGCTTCTGTGTGCTTCTGTGTATTTCTCCGTGTTCTCAAATGTAAATCAACAGGTATCAAGATACAGGCAAGAATTGTGTCTCTGAGAACATGTGGATGTTCCCGTGCTATCATCACAACTAAAACTGATCCATTTGTGCAAACTGGAACATTTGTAGACTTTGGTAAAGGGCTGGGATAGGAGAGGGGGGCAGAGGCCTGCCCACAACCACAGGTCTGTGGTCTCCAAACTCAAGTGAGGGTAAAAACAAACAGGAAATTCAAAGAAAACCCGGTTCTGGCTATTTCCCTCTACTCTCCAGTCATCAAAACCATAGCCTGTGTCTTTCACAGTTCACCAAGAGGTTGTATTACATAAGAGGTGTATTATATAAAAGGAAATTTCCCACGGAGAATATCACCAATATCAGTTAGTTTACATTCTCAAAACCAAAGAAATACTTGAAGATACTCTTATTTTAGCTGATTTGCAACTATCCCCATATTTCCCAACTAGGCTGAGGCTGGTTCCTGACAACCACACCAGCACGTTAGACATTTCTAGATCAAATCTAGATCAAGTTCTCTTTCTAGATCAAATAAGAGATAAACACAAGGAAAGTGGCTTCACCAAATTTTATAATCTTTATAGCCATTTTGTACCTTACGGTAGGTCCTAATCTATATTTCACAGAGGAGTCATTTTCTACACATGGGTAGGTCCTAGTATACTAGTCTAGAAATAACATGGCTTCTGTGTATTTCTCCGTGTTCTCAACGGAGATCTCTTCTAGATCAAATGCAACATGATTAACACACAATTTCCCACTCAAAATAGCTGCTTTTTCCAACTTCTCCATTTTAATCTCATGACTTCTTTCCTGGGCTCACGGGCTCAACACATTCACCTTCCTTTTCCAGCTTTCTCCTAGTCCCGCATGGTATCAAGCCCTAAAGATGCTACCTCCACAATGTTTTATGATTCAGTCCCTGACCTGAGTGCAAGGCTGTGTTACCTTGATTTAGTTTTTTTGAGAGAGAGCGTGTACGCGAGCAGGGGAGAGGGGCAGAAGGAGAGAGAGAGGGAGAATCTTAAGGAGGCTCCAGGCGCCAGATGTGGGGCTCGATCCCAGGACCTTGGGATCATGACCTGAGCCAAAATCGAGGGTCGGACATTCAACTGACTGAGCCACCCAGGGACCTCTGCATTACCTTTTAGAAAACAAAACTCTTTTCTTGACCATAATCAGTGCGAATGAATGCAGAAACTTAATAAATACTAGTCATAACCCTAACACTTTGATTTAAAACTATTCTTTAGAGGATGTATTTTCTTTGTGGAATTAAGTGTATGCATATGTTAAGATACAAGCTCGTATATTTACACAAAATGAGATTAATGTGAACATATTGTAGTAATCTGTTTTCACTTAGTATTTCAAGAAAATATTTTAATGGCCATATAATATTACCGTATATGCGATCATTTATTTAACAAACCCTCCATTTGGGGACATTCAGGCTGTATCCAATATTTTGCGATTGTAAGTAGTAACTCTGTGTTAAATATCCTTGAAGCCAAATCTCTGAAAACAGCCCTAATTACTTCCTTGAGATAAACTCTCAGATGTGGAATTGCTGAGAAACAGGTATAAGCACTTTCAAAGAAGGCTGTCAAGTACTGCCAAACTACCCTCCAGAAACAGGACACCAGTTTTGGCCCCCACCTGTTTTCTCTGTGCATTCACGCACCTGTGAGGGACAGCTTTGTTTTAATCCACATCAGTCTGATTCCAAACAGCAGACTCACTTTCGCCATTACGACCTGCTAGGAGAACAGGGTGGCTACTGGCTCCCTCTCCCCTGCCTCTTCCCACAGTGGATCACGGGTGCCCTCCTCTCAGAATGAGCTTCTACAGGGCAGCTCCCTGCCTGTCATGCGGTCCCAGGAAGTCCCTTCTACGGGAGTGTCCCAACTGACTCTCCGTCCTTAACCTCCACGAGTCGGCTCCCTTGGGGTGACCCGGAAGGTCGTGAAGATGAAACGTGAGAGTGTGTGCTACACACCTGGTAATTCATTCCCTCAAATGCTCTTCACTCGCTGGATCAAGGCATCACGCCTCTGCTTACGCTGGTCCCACCAGCCCGGACGCCCTTCCCATGCTTTCCACCTGCTGAGATCCTACCCACATGTCACCAAGTCTACCTCAAGTGCCTAATACCTCAGAAATGCTCCTCCTGTTCCTTCATGTGGGCTCCTCCCACCCAGAAGAGGTAGGTCATCTTTTTCTAAAGTTCGATAAAAACTCTGACCGCCTTCTAGTTTGTTTAGTAGCCATTTTTATACAACCTTCTTTCTTCTACTTGGACTTTCTTGTACTGGGATCTGAAACGGATTCAGCTTTGTATTCTTTGTATTGCATGCGGTGTCCTGCGCCAAATGGGTATTTTGTACAGAATTGAGGTGTTTAAGTCAGGATGGAGAAACTTATGGAAAATCTATGGCCATAGTGTTGAGGTACAGGATAAGCTGGACAGAGAAGACAGACGTGGCAAACAGATCCTATAACCATAAATACTAACTCAAATGGCCATGCCCTCATTTTCAGTTGTTGCAGACAACAACTTACACATCAAAACTGGTTATGGCCATTCTACACGATCGTCATCCGAGCATTTGTTTTGTGCTGGTTTTGGTGCTGGGCGTCTCATCTTGTTGGAGGTGCACAACCCTAGAGGACCTATGACTTTCATTTTGCAAAAGAGAAGACAGAGGCTTAGTAAGGTTAATTAGCCTGCCTGAAGCAACAGAGTCCAAACGGGGCAGGACAGACTCAAACCCAGTTCTGCCTGTTCCTTGTCCATTCTGCTGATGGCCTCTTCATCACGTGGATGGCCTGGCACCTCGTTATGTCCCTCTGCCTGGCCCGAAGAAAGTGGGGAGAGGTGTGGCTGCCAGCAAGGAACTGGCCTACCCCACAGATCCCATCACCTGATATTTAGAGCATGAAGTGGATACAGGGGAATATACTGTGGTGAGTGGACAAAAGAGCCCACAGCTCTGAGCAAAGAGGTGGTGCCTGTGGTCAGGTGGGCTAGTTGTCAACAGGAAGAACAGGCACCTACGGCTGAAGCTAGGAGAAGAACACAGAGCACCTGGCCAACAGGCCAGACAGACCTAGTGTCCTGCTTGGGGCAGTGAGGCTAATTTTTCATCCCAGTGGGTGGTGAAAGGGCCTTAGATATATTGCTACACTGGGCTGTCTCCGACTCTAGACCCAAATCCCTGTAGGAGGATATGGGGAAGCCACAGAGAAAAAGGAATGTTGTCTATGAGGCAGCCAGACTACAGTGAAAAGGCAAATGCATGCTTAAACCTGGAGTCATAGAGAATTAAATTCTAATGTAAATTCATGACTTGCAGAATAGAAAAGTAAATAAATCAGCAGGGTGGTAGCATAGAACTTTCTAGAGTGTCATGCTCAGTCACAGGGGGTGGGATAATTCATGAGCCCAATTTCAAACTGTCAAAGGATATTTCCTAGAAATCATGAGTTAGAGTCATCCACAACTGCCTGTGGGAGAGAGGACTTTACCAGGGTGGTGCCTTGTTCCAAGGCAATTCAGAGACAAGAGGTCTGGGTGGGCCTGAGAGTCAGCATTTCCAAGAAGCTCCCAGGTGACACAGGTACCACAGCCTAGATAGCAAGGAATTAAGAAGTCAGCAGGGGAAGGGAGGCAAGCTGGAGTGAAGGGAACGGTTCTTGAAAAAATATTATGTAAAAAAGAAGAAAATGTAGGAAACTAATATTTTTGCACGTTATAGCAAGGTCTAGTACACATCTGTAAAAATGTATTATCCAAGTAATAGGTCTGAGCAAGAAAAAAAAAATAACAAACCAAAATCAATCTACTTCTAGAGCTGGAAAATGCTTTAAAATGGCCCAGTACTCTTTAAAATGATCAAATCAACCACAAAATCATCTAAATGAAAAATGCAGCCAGTGTTTAGAATCTAACCAGGAAGCCTCGGGTGCTATTTACCTCATTTGGGCTCTTTATTTTTACTTGTTATTTCTTCCATTAATTAGAAACCTGTTTACTACCTATTACATTTTCCTGTTTATTAGAACTCCGGGGAATCTGGACAGTAGAGGAAAAAGCTGGAAGAATAAAGCACTGCTTCTGCTGTGTTGGCACATTCCCACATCGTCGACCCCACAACAGCCTCTCCCGATCAAACGCAACCAAAGGACGGGGGCGGTGGTGTCCCTAAATGCTGGGGTGGGTGGGGAGGAAACGAGACCTGGGACCTACACAGGCAGTGAAGTCACTTCGTGACTCGGCAGCCTGGATATGATCACCAATGACATAAACGGAGCTGAAGGCGACACCATCAGTGGACCAAGACACAAAAGTTATTGGCATTATTGCAACTATCTCCAAATTCGATCCCTACCCCCAACATTGAGAATCTCAGAGAATCCTTGATTTGGGGGTAAAGACCAAAAAATACAAATCTGTTATGTTTCTAAGTTGTACTACAGTTTCTTAGGTGATTCATAATTTATGGCTTCAAGAGAAATTTAAGATGCATGCAGATTAACAGAATTACGTTTAGAACATGCCATCTGATGGACACGCTGTGAGCCAGCAAACATCCCTGATGGTGCTCACAGGGACAGAACTTCATCAAGAGCTACAGTTAACGTTTCCCGGCACAGCAGCCGTCTCCTCACCTGCATTAAGGCCGGAAATAATCAGGAGCCAGCTTTTGCCATGTGATTTACTACAGCTGCTCCCTGGGTATCATTTGGGCATTAAGTTCAACATTTCTTCTTCCGTGTCGCAAGGGTATAATCATCACATTATGGCTACAGTCCACTCAACGGGTCTGTGGTAGAAGGAGCTTGAAAGAATAGTTCTTCAGATATCTAACACATCTAGGTGCGGGGTCGCTTGCAGGAGCTGGCTGGGAAGTATGTTTTTGATACTGGTTGCTTCACACCTGCATGTTACTCCCTCCCGTCCCAGCCAGCAGACCCTCAGCACCCACTGTGTGCCCTGCAGGATGCCGTTTTCTGGGGGAACAAAGATGAAAATAGGATGCTCCCTGGCCTGAAGCAGCCTCAGGGTACTGTGAGATACAGACCCCAAGTGGCACAGCAGGCTGCAAGTGCTACCTTTTATGCTTTAATTTTATGTTTTTGTGGTAAAATGCACAGAACACAAAATTTACCAGCCCATTTCTTAGGTGTACACTTCAGGGGTGTTACATACACTCACACGGTCGTGCAATCTCCAGAATCCTTCTTGCCTTGCAAAACTCAAACTCTGTCACCATGAGACACTAACTGCCCACTGACTGCCCCCGAAGCCCCTGGCACTCATCTCTCTACTGTTTGTGTCTGTGGATCGGAGCAGGCTAGGAATCTCGCATCACAGGCTCTTTCCTATTTTGCCCTCGAGCTGATTTCATTTAGCATAATGTCCTCGATGTTCTTGCCGTGTCAGAATTTGCTTCCTTGTTAAGGCTGGAATACCCCACTGTGTGGACGGACCACATTTGCTTATCCACCCATCCACTGATGAAGAACGTGCAGTGCTTCCACTCCAGGCATCCATAATGCTGCTAGAAAGTCAGGTGTGCTATGCCCGTGATCTTCAGGGGCACCTAGGTGGCTCAGCTGGTTGAGCATCGACTCTTTATTTCAGCTCAGGTCATGATCTCACGGTTTCTGAGTTCAAGCCCCGCGTCAGGCTTCGTGCTGACGGCGCAGAGCCTGCTTGGGATTCTCTGTCTCCCTCTCTCTCTGCCCCTCCCCTGTCCGCATGCGCTCTCAAAATAATAAACATTTAAAAAACCATATGTAAGATGTTGTGGAAGAACTGAGGGTCTCACAGAGGCAGATGCATTAGAAGTGACTGAAAATGAGACTTTCACCAGCCAAGTGACAGAAGGGAAGGGTCTCTTGAGACAGAGGGCCAGTGTGCGCATGCTGGGGACAGGGTGCAATGGAAAAACCTACACAGTACTCATTTGGGGGCACTGCTCATGTCAGGAGTTGAGGCTGGAGAGGTAGGTGGGGAAAGAGCTTCCTATGGCCTTGTCTATTCTGGTTTCACTGCTTCTTCAAGAGCCCAATCTGGTCTGGGACGAGGGACCCAAGTCTCGCTGCTGGAAGACTTAGACGCTGGCAAGTCTGTTCTCCGTGTATCATCCCTTGTCCCTTTGGGTTGCCTTTCATCAACTTCGAGCAAGTCTCTGAGCCCTTTACTGCCTCCCGCTAGGGGCTCTGGCTCTTGAGCCCTGACTGGGTCACAGATTCTGGGCTCTTCTCTGATGGCTGAGAGCTGGCCTGCAGCCCCAGCTCCAGTGGACCTGGGCCTCCAGGTCCAGCAGCAGCTTGTTCAGGCTGGGAGCTACCGGGGGCCCCGTAGGGATCAGATCTGTGTGTGGGAAAGAAGCACTCTATGGGTAGAAGGATGGGGTGGTTGGTTATAGGAGGGCAAGTCTGGAAAGGGACAGGGATGGAGGGCCGTAAACAGAGACCACCACGGGAAGGAAGAGGAGGATGTGAGAAATACAAAGCAGTAAGAATAGGTGGGAACCAGAAACTGAAGTGTGAGTGACGAGGAGCTCCCAAGTCTCAGGGGCAAAGTAATGCTGGCATCCCCGTTCCGTGGTCAGTTTCCAGGCAAGATTTACCAGTAATATCATCCGGTCTAATTTATATCCACAGAGACACAAGGAGTCCCCCTGACGCGTGACCAGAAAGCCTGCAGGTGGAAGAAGGGTTAAATCTGTAACTGAAATTGTCAAGAGGCAAGATGGTTTCAACAAACCTTCTCCCTTGGTTTAATGAGCGCTGTCACGTGCTTCAACACCAGAGGCCCGTCTAAACTGTATGTGAAGTTAACATTATCAAAGACAATCATGCCTTCTTGGGGCCAGGTCGGTGGAGGGTGGTTCTGATATTCCCAAGGGGCTTCTTTCTCAAGGTCTGTATATTCAATCACCCTTTCTACTGAAATCATCTGAAAGACACAGGACATCACATGGGTTAGGAAGGGAGGTTCTCATCCATGTTAAGAGACTGTAAAATGAAATGCTCTTTGATACTAGCTAGTTAAGTATATCTCAGGTGCCAATACCCCCAAAGAAGGCATCTGATGAGGACTGATGCAATTTACACACCTGTTCATAGTCTTGTAACACTTTCACTTATGGCTACTTCCTTCAGCATTACATTAAGACTACAAGAATTAGAGAAGTAAATCCTGAGATTTTATTTTTCCACTTTTCACACCTGAACAAAAAAACCAAGGATTTTGTCAAAGAAAGGAACACTTGTGGCCAACCATCTGCAATCTTGCTACAGAAGAGCCATCTGTTTTAGGGGAGTTGAACTGCCTAAGTCATCAAAAAA